CCTCGCCAGGTCACCACCTCGGCCTTCAACAGTTCTTCGCTATTTTCCGAATGGAGACATGTCGTAAAGACAGTATCGAGACGCCGTGCATACTGGAAAGCACGATCCTCCAACGGGCGTTCCATAAACTGCTCCACGCCATCGCGCAAGTTGGCCCCCAGGGGCGGCGGCGCGAAATATCGCAAAGCTGATGTGCTATCGATTTCAAGATGCTCATCGCAGATCGAGAAGCAAGCAGCTTGTTTGGCTGGCCCAAGTACGGCTGGGAGAGGGCATCGAGGAGGATCGGCTCTGTTTATGAGGCGGATGGAAGGACTGTGGGAGGGGGCCATGGAATCTAAGAGAAAGTACAAGACCCCGCGCTAACGTCGTGCTGTCAGTATGGGCGTCTAACCTAAATTTGAATCGGTTTGATCAAGCGCCGAGCAGTTAGAGATCTGGAGAAACGTACTCAGCTCTTTGCTGCATCATGTCTGCTAATTGCAATTTGCTCTACATAGTTCTGCCACAGTTCGTGTGCGTCCCGACCTTCAAACGTTGACCTGGTTGGATTGGCCTTCCTTCATCCGTGTATCGCTTGTTCCAAATATACTGTTTCTCCTAGCTTAGAGAAGCAACACTCACCAATTTCAGCTCAATCTTACTATGCTTTGAAACCACTGTCGCCAGCCGTGGATAAATTGTCGAATTCAACTATAACCACGTGATTAATATGAGTTGAGTTCTCCAAGATCCACCCTCTAGACATATCTTGGGGTTAATAATTGCACAGAGCGATCAGTTCATTGAGTCGGCAAATATGCAGCTTAGAGAATGTGGGCGTGTTGAACCGACTAATCCGCCGAATCCCGATTTTTCCCATTATTGGGGAGAGACATCGAGCTAGCAAGCACGGTTTGAAGTCATGGGCGAATGCCTTTGTCTCATTACGAAATGGTAATGGTAAAGTGTTATGAACCCTACGGTGATTGAACACGCATGATATTACGGCCTGATCAGGACATCGTGCGTTGACAAACTAATAAGGCGACAACCCCCAGGAAACAACGGACTAGATGAGCCTGTTCTACAAGGAATGCGGTCAGTTTCGATTCTCGACGTGAAACTCAACGCACCTTTATCAATAAAAATATCTTCCGCCGACATGAGACGCAGACACCCAGGGAGCTTGAATGAATTTCGGCGCATCCGCCAGGGCGCTCCAAGGAGAAAGGTCAACCGGCATATGGGTGAGCTCAAAGCGGAGCCCCAGCAACGGCTGAAGTTCCGAATGAATATTGCGCTCCTTGGGCCGGTTCAAGGCCAGTGCAACATGCTTCATCGTCCGCGATTTGATGAAATTAACGAGTGCGTCGTCGGAAATGGCGCAGATGGGTTTTATTTCCAGGGCCTGTAGGTCTGGGCAATGCGGAGTGGGAGAGTTGGGAGATGAGATGAGAAGTTCTAGGAGCTCGTCGTCGAAAATCTCTCCTTCGTAATACTTCTCGTATTGGGTGAACTGTATTTCGCAGAGAGTGGGGGGTAGCCCGCGAAGAAAATCGATCAGGGACGCCTTGGAAAATAAGTCAGAGTCGATTGCGATGCTTTCGATACGCGAAGCGGTGGTGAAGAAGGGGAGATAGGAGATGCAGTTGTGGATTTCCCGTTTTCCACTCAGTTTCAAATTCCGCAATTGTGGCAGCGACAGCTGGTGGAGGAGTGGGCGAACGGTTATTAAAGGGTTGTACTCCCGAGCGAAGAACAGAGAGCTCGATGAGGGGCTCTCCGACTCCGCTGTACGTGATCGGCAAAAAGGTAGAGCTGGCAACTGCGCAGCTGAGGGCACTGGAAGAGTATCTGCAGGGACATGGGACCTGTGAGCAACTTTTGGCCCCACTCTGCCGTGATCGATAGGTCTGTTAGCCCATCCCACCGAAGTGGTAATTCCAGGGGTCTGAAATTCCCTCCGCGATTGCGAAAGGAAAAGAATACTGGACCGCGTTGGGACCACGAGTGAAACCAATTGAATCCCATGGGACGTCCTCGTTTCCCCAAGTCTGGTGGATGCTAACCGACTTGAGCATAGGCACATCCACTGTGGTAAGGTGCGCTATGGCCACGAGACATGAAGGTGGGACAGTGAAAGTGATGTGCTCCCAACGCAGTGTGAATGGAAGCAGAGCCTTGATAAGTTCGTCGTCGGTGCCCAAATAAGAGCTGGTATTAAGGTCGGAGGCCTGTAAGGATATAGAGAGGGGACACTGGCCAGATCGTTCGAGCCACATCCTGGTGGTCTCGAGTTATAGATAACGGGCGGAAAGGCAGATGCTGGGCTCCACGATGTGAACCCTCGACCAGAGGTAGGGTGTCGATAGGCATATGGTTCGCCTCGAGCTACAGATGCGGCCAAGGAGGACAGGAGCCTCCGCGGCGCTCATAACGCAGTTGCGATGCGTTGGGAGGTAGTCCATGAAGATCCTTTCAATGATGTCGACTGGCAATCTTCGAGCCGGCGAAAGGAGAGCCCTGTGAGCGTCCATGTAGTCACTGAGCTTGGCACGTTCATCGACTAGCTTCTGCAAACGGGTGATTTGGTCGTCCAAATGCTTCACTGCCTGAGTGGATTCAGTGAGAAGAGTTCCGATCTCTGTTAGTTCCTTGTCCTGAGGCCAGTAATTGGTCCCTAGCCTTGAGATGAACGGAGAAGACGTGGTGGTTGATGAGGCAGTGCCGCCATCACACGAATTGATAGCTGTTCGCGTAGGTGCGGTTCCGATTCTAGTCGTGTATCCGTTTCAACTACTAGTGGCTCACGCCGAATGTCGGAACACCGCGCGAGGCTGGAGCTACGGAAATTCCTCAACAAGGGCTGCCGATCCTGACTAGATATCCATTGGCGCCTTTACCAATTTCGAACCACGGAATTCTTTTTTATAAAATATGTACACCAGGAGCGGTACAGAGTCATGGATCTCCGAAGTCCCTTGGGACCTCCGAGTCCAGGCCTTCCCTGGGCGGAAGGTATGCAAGATCGAGATGAAGCCCACTCTGCAGCAACGTCTCCAGCTCCGGATAGATGTCAAGCTCCATAGGACGGTTAAAGCAGATCACAACACGCCTCAGCGCCCGCGATCTAATGAACCGCAGAAGAGCTTCGTCGGATAAGGAACAGCACCGGTAATTCATTTTCAGTGCTTGTAGGTTAGGGCAACAGGGGATGGGGACGTCGGGGGATGGAATTAGGGATTCTACGAGGGATCGTAGAATCCCGTCATCGAAGAGCTCGTCGTCGTAGGCTGGGGAGCGGTCGGGAATCTTACTGATCTCGAGGTTGCGAATGGTTGGTAGCTCGCGAAGGAGATCCGCGAGCGAGGAATTGGAGAACAGTTCAATGTTGATATCAAAGGTTTCGATGCGCGGAGCGGCGACGGCGAGGAATGGGGCATAGGAGGTATCGTCGCTATACGATGGACCACAGAGTTTTAAATTCCGCAATTGTGGGAGTGAGAGACGACTGAATAGATAGCGAACTGTCGAAGGAAGAGTCCCGACAAATTCTAGGTCCAAGGTATGAAGAAAGGAGAGCTTTAGAATAGGCTCTTCCACTACACCGTGGGTATCGGGAGCAAAATGAACAATGAGCCGACAGCAGCGCAGCTGCGGGCAACGAGAGAGCATCCGCAGGGCTACCTTGCTTGTGAGGGTGTTCTCTGACTTCCATCCTTCCTCGTTGATTGAGAGGTGTGCTAAATGGCTCCAGCGGAGCGGCAATTCCAGGGCCCGGTTGAAACCGGTTCCCCCCGTAACGTGAAACGAGTGGATGGCGGCGGCGCTAAGGAATCCCAGTGCGTGCCATGGGACGATGGCTTCGGCAGGTGTATGGATGCTGAATGACTTGAGCATCGGCACATCCGCCTCCGTAAGATGCGACATGGTCTCTAGGCTTGCAGCGTAGGTTGTGAAAGTGATGTTTTCCCAACGCGATGCGAAGGGCAACAAGGCCTTCAGGATTTGGGTGGCTGACTCGCTCAGGGCGGTCCCGTGGAATGCGCATTTCAGCGATATGGTCAGGGGACACAGGGCGGAGCGACTCAGCCAGATTTTCGTGCCTGCAAGCCGCCGCGCTAGCTGGTCCTGGAACAGCGGAAGGGGGTGGTAAATGGAGTAAGCGGGCTGCACGATATGTAGCTTCGACCACAAGCGGGGTGTCGAGAGGGAAATGGTTCTCCAGGAGCTGCAAATGCGCCCAAGCAGGATGGGCGCCTCCCTGGTGTTCATAATACAGCTGCGGTGCTCTGGGAGGCAGGCTGCGAAAATTTCTTGGGTGATCTCGAGCGGTACTCGTTGTACCGGCGAAATGAGGGTCGTGTGGGCGTCCATGTATGCTCTAATCGGCAAACCAGCGATGTCATCGTCAAGAGGCTGCATTCGAAGGGTGGGTCTGACGAGAAGTGTTTGGAACTCCGCGACGTCCTCGCCATTCGGACAATAATGGGTCCTTTGCTGTGAGATGGAAGGCGACGACATAGAACTGGGGTGAGGCAGTGCGGCTGCCACAAACACGGTCAGGTGAAGTGATGGCGCGCGCCTGTAGATCTGAATCAGATCCAGAACCAGGACAAGAATAAAACACTATGAACTAGTTAGAACAAACCCTCCTTAGAAATTAACGGGGCAAAATAAGTAACGTCGTCGGACAGACGTTTCGAGTCCTGCTGCCAGTCACAAAGAAGGAAACCGGAATTTGCTGTGAGAATTTGGAGATGGAACAATGAAAGTGCGTAGAAAATATACTTCGAGGATCCTCAGTTGAACTTGACGTTAGAATCCAATGCAAGATAGAGACGTTCGAGCTGCGAAATCGAGTCAGTAAGTACACGGGTATTAATTGTGGGGATCTGAGAGGTAGCCGTGGGCGGGCAGGAGACCGGTAGAGGAGCAGGCCGGTCCTCGACTCTTCCAAACGGCGAATAGATGGGCGGATTTCGGCGCTTGAAAAGAAAAGGAAAAGAAACTTATGATGGCTTGACCTTGAATCGAACAATGGACTCTATCCTTCAGATATTAAACAGCTGTGTTCCCGCTACACCATCAAGCCGTTTTTCCGAGCTCCCCAAGGTGAATAGATGGGTAAGTACTGTAGAACACAAAGGAATAAATAAAATAAAATTCAGAACGGGAGAGGTAGGGCCTGACCTTGAGTCGAACAAGGAACCTCTGCTGAAAGTCAGATGCGGACACATTGAACCAAGAGCAGAGGCGTCACCGTTACACCACCAGGCCGATATTCTCGGAAGGTGGATTGATGTCTCGTTCAACACCGCTCAGACACTCGAAATACCAGTTGAAATTTGAATTCGTCCGAACCTGGGACAAGCTCATCGGGCGCAGAAGGGTTGAGTTTGTATTCGATGGCAGACACAACAATTTGGAGAGGAATCAATGTAGTTGTAGCGCTCTCAAAGGGAGATAAATTAAGTAGCGGGAAACGATGTTTGAAAACGAGGCCGAGACGAGATGGGCCCGGGAGAGCTCAGGGAATTTCAAGTTGAACGTGCGAGAATCGCATACATCGCGAGCGGTCGGCGCTGGCGAAATTAAGAAATGACGTGTGTAGATACCGATTTGAGGAAGCGCACAAGAGATACAATCCGAGAACTCGTGCGCAGACAGAATGCCAAGCGGGATGGAGAGAGAAATATCTTAGTAGGAATGTCGATATGTGCCTTGAAGGTTTGACGGAACGCCGGCGAGGATTAGAGCTCGGGAGGGACTGCGCAGTGCGGATCGAGTCGGGAGATATATACTGATAAGGCGAGGCCAGGTTGTATAAGAGAGATTGGGGGGAGAGCGAGAGCCTGAAATGGCTTGGAGCCGCGAGCGCAGACTCGGCGTCGATAAAGAGCTTGTGTGGACTTTTTGTGGAAATTGTACTTGGAGCGCCAAGTGACAAGAACGCCTGAGCCGAAACGGTGCTGCGAAAAACGCTGAAAAATATATCTTTGGACACTCTGTGAAAAACGAGATGCGAGATACGTTGTGCGAGCTGCGGGGGACCAGATACCGCGACAAGTGGCAGCAAGGAGCTCAAGGTGGTGATGCGTCACGGTTTAGCGCTCTGTGACATCGTGACTTGGACGCTTGCCAGTGCCTTTCTCAGCGCCAGCGTCAACCGCTGCGACTCTTGTGTCCCAAAGATCTACCCACTTGTACCCATGATACATCCGCTCTATGCCGCAAACAGCCCGCCGCGACGTGAGGGCACCGTAACCCCAAAAACAGCCACAGACGACCTCGGCGGCCCTCGAGTAGCCTCGAGTATATTACCTGCCTTGGCATTGGTGTAGGAGCCATAGCCTAGCCGCACCAGCCTGAAACGAACTACTCGCGCTGAGAAGAGACTGGGCCTGGTGAAAGCAGTGGCGTATTCCATGCCCCTGCCTCCGACTCTATGCAGATCGATGGCGTGAGTCTTCGGCGTCCCTGGCCCTTTCAATGCTAACAGTATTGCTTGAATTTACAGCGGTACTACACCTTCGATGTTCCCACACGCAGAATCTCGGTCTGCTGTCGCCCATCCCAGGTGTGCCAGGTTGCGCCAGCCTTGGTCTTCCAGTAACGCAGCGGGCTATTACGTACAGGCGAGAAGTCCCAGTCCCGTACAAGTGGAAACGGGCCTCCCCACCCGTCCCTCGTGGCCCTGCTCCCGCCTTGCGCGCGCCACATCTACATGTCGC